TCACACTATTGCCTTATTCTTTGCTTCTAGTTGTTGAACTGTGAGATTTTCCTTTTCTCATTTTTGATGTGGAATAGAATACTTAAACATCAATTATTTAAATATTCATTATTTAATTTCTTTTTAATTTTGATGCGTTTAAATTTCTTCTTCTTTATTTTCTTATTTTAAGGAGAGTATATAATTACTACTGTATTGCTTTGGGCTAATATTCTTTTAGCCTCAACCACTTGACCCTTTTCCTTTGATAATCTTTCTTATATTATCAAATATACTTGTATTCTAACAAGTAATAATAACATCTTTATAAATACCCATTCGTTTATTGTCAATGATATTCTGTCATTGTAATTAATAAACACTGCTATTCTTGCAGTACTGGGTAAGATGTTTTTCTAACCAAACGCAACGTCATAACCAGTCCATAACTGGGGGGAATCGAAGGATGGAAATATTTTAGTGTTCTGCGTGGTGTCTCTGACGTGCTACCTTCGAATCTAAAAGATAAGTTATAATAAATAATAATGATAAATAAATCAAGAATTAAAACAAAAAATAATATAGATATATTTATTTGTTGAAGAAAGTAAATGAATAGAATAAATGAATAATGTATTTATAACAATAAATAATGAAAAAATAAATAGAATTGATTTAAATTAAATAAAGATGAATGATAAATTTAGTGTTAATAATAAATGGTACTTTAGAAGTAGAAAATAATAAATAGATGATAGAGACAAGAAGATGATAAAGAAAAAAAGAAAAGATTAAAAGAAAATCAATAAAATGATATCATTCAAAATAAGAAATAACAAAATAAAATAACAAAAATAACAACTATTAATAGAAATAATAAAAAATAGTATAAAAATAATAAAATAATAAAATAATAAAATTCAAACAACATTTTTCATTATTCAATGATTTATTTCCAATACAGAATTAATCAAATAAATATAGTAAAGAGAAAAAGAATCAAAATGATGACATAGTTAAACATAAAATAATGAAATGATGAAGAAAGAAGGTATTAGAAGTGAAAACAAGAAGAAAAAAGAGAATTAGAAAAAAAATAAGAAAAAATGATAGTTATGAATGAACATAAAGTTGAAATTAAAATGTTGTTTTGAAATAGAAATGTTCTTAGAAGAAACAAAAGTGTAATTTTATATCCACTGATATTATATTTAAACTTGTATTTTACAATAATCTGTATAATAGATATTAATGGAATATCAACAAAGTGATAATATTTCAAATATCTTTACTCATGCTGGGATTGAGATTGTAGGAGTTCCATCAAGAGTAGAGATACTAATATCTAAATATTTAAATAAATTCACAGAAGACATCAATAAACGACTCGATAGATATGAACGAAGATTATGTGAACTACAAAAGAAAGTTAATGAAATGGACATAACAATAATGATGTTATATACAAAGAATGAAATTATAGAAAAACTTAAAGAGGAACTACAAGCATTAGAAGTAAAGAACGAAACATTTATAGATGAACAAATAAGAATAGAGAAAGAACAAACAAAAGAGGAAAATGAATTTATTAACAAAAGATTAAAAGAAAATGGAAGTCAAATAGAAACAAACACTACAAACATAGGTTGTCTTAATGTAATGGTAGAAGATATTGTTAAAGAGATTCAAACAAAGAATGGAAACAAAGAAATAGTTAGAGGATTAGTAGTAGAAGAAATAAGGAAAGAATACTTACTTCGTGCTGAAAAACAAATAAAACACTCAAAAGAATTTAGAGACAAAACAATAAATAATATCAATATACAGGACAGTATAGAAATAAAACGTTATGACTATAAAATAATCAAAGGAACACAAATTAATAAACTAGAAGAATGGACATCAAGAAAAGTAGGAAATATAATATTTGATTCAGAAATAGATAATTGGGATAAAGATAAATCAGTATTTAATCAAAAAATAATAAATAAAGAACATATAATAATTATTATTGAAGATACAAATGGAAATAAATTTGGAGGATATGTTAATGTGAAAATTGATAAAGTTAGAGATTTCATATATGATCCAAATTCATTTTTATTTTCATTAGAATCAAATGGAAGAATAGATGAAATGATGAAATTTGATATTAATGATCAACAACATGCATTTTATTTATGCAACTCAATCAATGGTTGTTTGTTTGGATTTGGAGGTGGATATGAAGGTGATATTTGTGTTTATAAAGAAAATAATAAAACACAATCATCTTGTAAACAACGTTCATTTTCATATAAAGGAATAACAAATGCACTTTGTGGAAAACAAAATCCAGAACGTTTCACACCACAACGAATCATTGTAATTGAAATGAAATGAATTTATATTTTATTGTTATTTTTAATTTTGAATTATTTTTGTGTAATAAAACAGATAAATAAATTATAAGAAATAAAGTAAGAAATAAAATGAAAGAGAAAATCAAATAAAAAAGAAAAATCTAAATAATTAAAAATTAATAAATAAATATCAGTAATTCTTAATTTATCTACTTCATTTTGTTCAAGTGAGATTATATCTTTCACTCTCTTCATAGTCTTGTTCATGAAGTACTTCTATATCTTCATATTAATGATATCCATAATATTTCATTAGTTCTTTTATGTTTTTAATTATTATATCTTTTATCATTATTTCATATATAATTATTATAATTTGTTCTTTTATCATTCTTATTTATTCTTTCTTAAATATTCCATTTATTATTATTATTAGAAT